GTCCCCCCGCCCCCCGGCTCCCCACGCGCAGCCCGGGTCTTAAAGGCGCCGCGCGCTGCAGCAGCTCGGCCCCGGTTGCTAGGTGGGTGTGCGCCCTCGGGGGCCGCGCTCTGCCCACGACGTTAGGATTTTATTCCTGTAAGAAATATTTACCACGAAACACAGGGCGATTGCTTAAAGGCAGTCATTTCTTTGAAGACCATCAGTTCGGTCGAATGCCGTTCATCCTGGCTTCGCGTAATTTGCAGCCAAGACGGTTCAACGTGCGTGGTAATGAATGAGTGTTACCCGAGGTTTAGAAGAGATGTTTTAAAAAGCAATCTTCTCATGATAAAAATAATATACTTTTTTTTTTCACATCGGATTTTGGGAATAAAACCACAGGAAAACATAAAGGATAAAAAAAATATATCCTTTGAAATCGCCGTTAACATTTTGAAATATTTCCATTCTCCCCCTCCCNAGGATAAAAAAAAATATCCTTTGAAATCGCCGTTAACATTTTGAAATATTTCCATTCTCCCCCTCCCCCCATACACGTGCGTCCGTGTTTATGCTCTAAGAATGCGAAATTGAAGTCATGCTATGTTTTTAAAACTTCACTTAATCCACAAGTGTTTATTGAGCACCTTTCTGTGCCAGCACCGTTTCAGGTGGTGATACATCAGTGAGCCACACAGATAAAAACCCCTGAGCTAGTGGAGCTCACGTGGTGGTGGCTGGAGGGGGGGGCAGGGGTAATATGGTGAATCTGAAAATTGTCTACTATGGTAGATAAATACTAAGGAAACCAGAAAGCAGAGTAAAACAGAGGAGGAGCAGGTTGCAATTTTGAGCCTCGTGCTCAAGGTTGGACTCATTGTGAAAGTCACAACTAAGCAAGGACTTGAAGTGCTCGGGAAGTTCACTAGCTAGGTGGGAGAGGCAGGCCCCAGCAGGGCAGAGGTGGGATCAGTTTCTTAACTGACAAGCACAATACTACCAATATAAAACCAGAAGCATCATACCTTAGTACTTAGAGCAAGACTCTCATGTCAAAATGCCACACTCGAACCCTAGCTCTACCTTAGGCTATTTGCTTGACCTCTTTGGGCCTCAGTTCTCCTATCTGTAAAGGGCAGATGACAATAATAGTATATATAGTACTTACCTCATTAGGCTGTTGTCAGGATTAAGTGAGCAAACAAACACAAAACGCCTAGAGCAATGCTTGGCCCACAGTAAACATTCAAATTATTATCAGTAGTATAGCCACTACTATTATTATTACTTGTTGAAAAGAAAAAGAGAACAGTAAAATGAGAATAAAATGAGAAAGAGCTCCCTTTCCCTAATCCCCAGAAGCCATTTCTGTCTTCAGCCCTGTTTCCAGAATGCATAGGATATCACCTTTTCCCCCTCTCTTTATATTTTATTGTAAGCATTTTCTCCATGACAATATTTTTTACAAATATACGATTTTAATGATAGCATCACATAACATAGTATCACACTGTTTTCTTGTAGTTGATAATCTATAATGTTTCTAGTTTTTAATTCTTATGAATGGTGCTGCTTATATATATAACTTCGTGTACATTTAAAATTAATTCCTGAGGATAGAATCCTATTAGTAGAATTACTGGGTCAAAGGGAATTATTTTTATTTTATTTATTTTAAAACATGTTTTTATTGATTTTAGAGAGAGAGAGGGGAAGGAAGAAGGAGAGACAGAGAGGAAACATCAATTGGTTGCCTCCCACACACGCCCCAACCAGGATCGAACCCGAAACCTGGGCATGTGCCCTGAGTGGGAATCTAACTGGCCACCTTGGTATACCAGTCAGTGCTCAACCAGCTGAGCCACACTGGCCAGGGTGAATTAATTATTTTTAAAACTCTTGAAACTATTGCTAAATTGTTTCCCAGGAAAGTTACAGCCCTATGAAAGTAAGTTGTCTTTCATCACTGGCATTGAATAGTATCTTTTAATCTGTGAATTTGAAAGCCAAAAAAAAAAAAAGAATCTCACTTTGATTTCCATTTTTTATTACTAATAAGTTAAGCTTTCCCCCCTCTTATTTATTGTCTATTCAGATTCGTTCTTTTGTGAATTGACCATTTATTAACATTTTCTTGTTGATATTTATTACTAACCCTTGATTATATATGTTGTAAATATTTTCCGAATTCATCATTTATCTTTTAATTTTGTTTTCTGATAACACTTTCATTTTCAGGCAATTCATTTTTAATTGTCAGTACTGTATCCTTTTAGCTTAAGTATGTAAGTGTAAAATAAGGAGGTACATCTCTCATTTAAAGGAGAACTTTTAGGATCAATTTACCCTGTAATATTAAGCAATCTACATCTGAATGATGACAATGCCCTTGGAAGAAGTCCTTGTACCTTTAACATACAAGGATGACTGTAATCAGCTCTCATGTCTTTCTAAATATTACCCCTTCTTTAAGCCCAACTCAGATCCCACCCCTGGAAAGTGTTCTGTGCCTGCCCCAGGTGTATTATCCTTTTCACTTCACGTCTGTAATTTATTTCCACAAACGTCTATTGACTATCTTTTCGTGCAAGGCGGTGTACCAGGTACCCTGGGAAGAAGATACTTGTCTTTGAAGAGCTCACCATTTAGTGAAGGAGTTAAAAACTCAATGAATTATTTCACGTGTCCAAATGGAATGAACGCTCCACGCACTTACAGCGGGTTGATTCTAAGAGAGGCAGGTATGAGAACAGGAAGGGCAAGGAAGTTGGACTGTGAGGGCAGAATTCAGGGTAAACACCGTCTAGTGTGTTTTTGGTTTAGTGTATGTGTCGGAGATACAGAAGAAGGTCATGTTGGAAAAGTAGTCTGGGGTCATGGATGGTGGACCTTAAATGCTTTATCCTGTTTGCAATAGAATGCTATTGAAAGCTTGCTCTTTCTTTTTTAAAAGTAGCGTTAATTATGTTCTGTTACAAAATTAATAATGATGTTTTCCCAATTCTCAATAATTTCCAAATTATAAAAAGAACAGATTACATGTTAGAGAACCACTCTTAATATTTTTGGTTTATTCTGGAAGGTTTCCTATATACACCCAGAGATATAAACACAGCCATCTATAAGGTCTACACAGATGGAATGGGACCACACATTGTTTCACAACCCATGCTTCTTTACTGCCTGCTGCAACCAAGGCTGGTGGAAGGGGGGCCCTGGAGGAGCTGGTGAGGGTCGTCGAGCTAAGGCAATAGGGGCAAAAAGACAGGGATGGATGCCAAAGACAGTTCAGAAACAGAAGTTTTATTAGATTGCCTGTTTTCATTTTTAAAGTCACATTTCTTTCATTGCGATTTTCATTTTAGTAGCCACTTTTTACATTTTCTTTTTTTAGCTTTTTCAGGACAAATTGCTGGGTCCCTTGGAAAAATCGTTTCCATGATCCCATAGGTAGTGAAACTTCAATTACCTTGGAATTTTGTTACCACTGCCTCTCTCCAATGAGAGGAGGGAGAAGATTGCCCTGTTCAAGATCATTGTTGATTTATGTGGTCTGAACTCATTTTGACTATGATCACTAAGAGTAGACAAGGGATTACGTACTTATTGAAAAGGAATTGCTGGTACAAGCTAGTTCACTGACAGTGCTTAACAGGCTCCAGGCTCTGAGCTATACAAAGAAATCATGCCCAAGGTCACAGTTAATTGGCAGAGCCCAAACTTGAACCCCAGGCTGATTCCAAAGCCTGTGCTCATTTACTGTGTAAAATGAGATCACCAATTACTTAAAATCGATGTTGTGAATGTTAATAAATAAAGGGAAAAACTCCTCAAGTCGGAATCTAGCTTAAATCCTTGTACTTGGGCATCTGACCATACTTTGCTTTAGTATTTTCAGTGATTGGTCTGTAGTTTGAGCA